ACTCCCGGAATCGTCGGTAGAAACTTGCACAGAAACTTGTTCGTATTCAACTCGATACTGGACTTTGATTGATTGAAAACTTGATGCATTACAAGCTAGAACTCGTCCCTATTTATAGACTATCTAACACAAATCCAAAACCAACAAAGAAAGCAAAACAAATGCCCAAATCCTACAAGTAAAAGGAAAACCTACTTTGACCCATTCAACCCCTTAAGAGATGCCTTAAAATCCTCCCTCACATGACTTGTGTTCACACTTGATATTCCTTTCACAATTGTATGCCTTTCGCACCTTGTGTTCACTTCTCCTTCCTCCAAGCCCCTCTTCTCTTCATCTTGGTCCATAAATCGTAGAAATCTGATGGGATTTCCTTCTAGCAAATCCAGGCCGATCAAGAATGATCCAATTTGATCTTTGTATCATCGTATTCGGATCTTCATCTTTGGACCAAGAGAGTTATATATTCTAACAATCAATTTCACATCAACAAACTCGTAGCCCTTGCTTGCAGAGCCCTTTTCTTCCACCTTGAATGCTCCCAAGCTTTCTTTGAACCTCTCAAATTATCTCTTGACTGAGGGTCCATGTAGAGATCTAATTTGAGCTAGAGTGATGTCATGTGGGGTGAGCGGGGTCGCATCTGTGCTAAGGCTAATGCTATGAATGAAGATCAACATGTCCCTGAAAATGGTATCTAAGTCCAACCTGAACAACCTGTTCCTGTTCCAAATAATCCGGTTAATGGTAACGAGGAAGAAATGGAAGCGCAACGTAAGCTAACCTCTAATGTGTGGCCTCACTTCCATAGAGTTAGGATTAATGGGCTAATGAAAGCTAGGTGTAAGTACTGTCGTAAACCCCTTGGTGGGGAAACAAGTAATGGAACTTCACACCTAAGAAACCATATCAAAACATGTATCCAGAAGAGGATACATGATGGTTCTCAAGAAATACTTGGCCCCAACTATCAACCTGCTGGAAATCCTCAACTCTTTGCTTCTCAATACAATTATGAGGTTTCTATGAAGGAGCTTTGTTCTATTATTCTGGTCCATGAGTACCCCCTTAGCCTTGTTGATCATGTGGGTTTCAAACGTTTTCGTTGTTCTCTTTACCCTCAATTTGTTGTTCCTAGTAGAAACACTGTGAAAAAGGATCTTCTTGGTCTCTATGGGGTTGAAAGGGTTAAATATCATATCATGATTGATAGTAACTTGGGGAGGGTTTCAGTGACTACTGATTTGTGGACTACCTCAAATCAGAAAAGGGGGTATATGGCAGTAACTGGTCACCTTTATTGACAATTCTTGGAAGCTCCGTAACATAATGTTGAGGTTTATGTATGTTCCAGCTCCTCATACTAGTGAAAGACTAGCTGATATGTTATTTGATTCTCTTTTAGATTGGAACATTGATGGTAAGTTTTCCTCAATCACACTCGACAACTGTACCACCAATGATTCAATGATATTTCATTTGAGAAATAAGCTTGTGAGTAGTGATCTGTTGCTTGATGGTGAATTGGTTCATATGAGGCGTTCAGCTCATATTCTGAACTTGATTGTGAGGGATGGTTTGGAAGAAATCAAGGATGTTATACATTTGATTAGGAAGAGTGTAGTTTACTGGAATTGTACACCTAAGAGGGTTCAAACCTTCTTCGAAGTTGTTAAGCAACTCAAGTTGACTTTTGAGAAAAATTGGTACTTGATTGTCTAACTAGATGGAATTCTACATACCATATGCTCTCTATTGCTCTTTAATATAAGGATGTTTTCTGTTGTGATTGAGAAGCTGGAAATTTCCATCTATTCCTTCTACTTCTCAATGGGAATTTGCATCTATTGTGATTGAGAAGCTGGAAATTTTCTCTGAGATAACTGAATTATTCTCTAGTTCCAAGTATCCGAATGCCAATCTTTTCTTCCCATAGATTTGTGACTTGTGACTAAAACTGAATGGGTGGGGTCTTGATCCCAACTCTGTGTTTTTTGGAATGGCCAGTCAAATGTCTCTGAAGTTTGATAAGTATTGGGGTGATATCGATCTTCTACTTGTTGTCTCGGTTGTTTTGGATCCTATATATAAGCTTCATGTTATTGAGTACTAAAGTTTCGCAATCCTAGTTCTGGATCTGTCTCGGCTAGTGATCTTGACTTTGAGCTCTTTGTAAGTCAGAGGAAAAAGAGAAAGAGTTCTTTGATTACTACTGATTTGGATATGTATCTTTCTAAGGATATTATTCTTCGGACAACAGACTTGAATCTACTCTTGTGGTGGAAACTGAATGGTCTCAAGTATCCCACCTTGCAAGCTATTGCAAGTTCTGGATCTGTCTCGCCTAGTGATCTTGACTTTGAGCTCTTTGTAAGTCAGAGGAAAAAGCGAAAGAGTTATTTGATTACTACTGATTTGGATATGTATCTTTCTAAGTATATTATTCTTCGGACAACAGACTTTAATCTACTCTTGTGGTGGAAACTGAATGGTCTCAAGTATCCCACCTTGCAAGCAATTGCAAGGGACTTTCTGGCAATCCCAATTACATATGTTGCTTCTGAAAGTGCATTCAATTCTGATGGGAGATTGTTAGACCCTCACCGGAGCAGGCTTCATTATCCAACTGTTGAATCAATGATGTTAAATGAAGTTGGATTATGGAAGACATGCAATGAGGTAACATGCAACTAAACCTCCAAATTTTAGTATAACTAATTTTGTTTAAGTGTAAATAATATTTATTATTTCTATCTGTAGATTCGGAGGTTGCTGCTACTGTGGAGGCATTGGAGGGAGTCTTCTCAGCCCTGTCACTCGAGGATACGACTGTGGAGGAGGTAGAACCTAGGGGTAAGAAAATCACTTCTCCTTTTATAAACTTTCTAACTTTGTTCATTGAGATTTGAGGCTGGACCAATGTGTTTTGCTACCAGGTTTTCAGGTTTAGAAATGGGTGTTCTTGAGATCACCATTTGGCCAGGAAGACTGATCCATTTGCATCTGTTGAGCCAGGTTATAACATAAAATCTTCTATTTTTGTGTTGCAAAAATCTGAACCTTGAGGTTGTTGTTAATTGTTACGCTTAAACACTTAAGAATGTTTACTTGAATGTTTGTGCAGACTTGCAGTTGATGAATGATGTCTACCACTACTTGCTTTTGAATAAGACTCAACAATAGTTAAGATGGCTTGAAGCTACATCTTGCTCGAAGGAAGGCTCCTGTTACATTTGGTCTCAATAGTTAGGATGGCTTGGAGTTTGTTTTACCTTAGACAGCTAGTTGTTCTTGCTTTTGAATAAGACTCGGCAATCATGGTGCTAAGAATAGATTTTTTTAGTTGATTTCGAGTTCAGATGATTTAATGTTGTTGTTGATTGCAACTTTGTTGAGGTCATGTTGATGTCAGTTTCAGAATTCATATTATCATTTATTTAGAATAAAATTACATGTTCATATTTTTTTCCAGATGTAAAGTATTTTTTTTTTGTTATTGTAGTTGGTATCTCAGACCCGCGGGCATTCGAAAACCCAGCGGTTACGGGGTTGGTGTCACTACAAAACCCATATCACCATTTGGGCTGAGGACGGGGAAACCCGTGGCCCTTCGTTGGCGGGGTGGATACAGGGTACCCGGCTCCGATCCGCCCCGTTGCCAATCATAGCTAGAAAGATATTCTGATCACTAAAACACATCATTAAAGGGCACTCTGACCTAAAAGAAAAGCCCTTTGACAACTTAACTTAAACACTATGACCGCTTGCCACTAGGTGTTTATATATGGGTGGATGTGATAGGAATAAAGCATTTATATACTTTCACACCTTATGCAACACACACTGAAAGCAGCCTTATTGCATAATGTAACATATTCAATTTGAGTAATGACTATCTCATGTACCTTCACACCTCTATGGTGCTTTTGATGTGGGAGCGGATATGGTGACAACACCATATTTGTTGTTATTGTAACAACACTAACTCCAACCAATAGGAAGCTAGGGTTGTGATGACTTTTGATTAGCTTAGTTGACCTAGTGTAAAATCAAAACAGGGGTATAATTGTCATTATGAAAAACATGTTTAAATAATAGTAAAATTAAAAAAAAATAAAAATATTTTTTATTTTCTGCCCAAAATTTTGGTCGCCGGAATTCTGCCACCGGTCGCCGGTCACCAGAATATGCTATTTGTCGCCGGAATATGCTTATCGGCGCCGGAATATGCTTACTGACGCCGAAATATGCTTATCGGCGTCGGAATCTAGTCATTGAGGCCGTAATATGCCTATCGGCGTCAGAATCTGATCACTGACGGTCATCGCAGTTCGGTCAACGGTCAACTACCACCGGATGTTATGGTATGCACTGTGAGATTTATGGTTTGGTTTCTCATATTTTTGTATGCCTTTTGTGGTTTGCGTTATTGTGTTTGTGGTTTTCATTGAGAGGTTTCTGGTTTGCTTTCGAAAATTTTGTGGTTTGCGTTGTGAGGTTTATGGTTTGTTTTAATATATTTGTGGTTTGCATTAGGACGTTTATGGTTTGCTTTTTTGTGGTTTGATTTACTGTGTTTGTGGTTTGCATTAGGAGGTTTCTGGTGTGCTTATGACATATTTTTTAGGAGACTTGTGGTTTGTATTAGGAGGTTTCTGGTTTGCATTAAGAAGTTTCTGGTGTGCTTTCGAATCTTTTGTGGTTTGCTTTGCGAGGTTTCTGGTTTGTTTTAATATATTTGTGGTCTGCATTAGGACGTTTTTGGTTTGCTTTATTGTGATTTGCTTTACCGTGTTTATGGTTTGCATCAGGGGGTATCTAGTGTGCTTTTCAAAATATTTATGATTTGCTTTGTGTTTTCCAAAATTTTGTTCCAAAGCACTTCAACGAAACTAAAATGAAATATAGTTAAAATATGTTCAATTTATTAGTTCATATGACTACTTATAAAGTTGTAGATTAGAAACTATATAGCTAAGCATTTCATCATAAAACAAAGCATAAACATTGAGATCAAAGCAACTAATGCCTATTTGGCACACCTTTGAACTTTACCAATTCGGAACAGAGGATATCGAGAGAAAAGTTTTATTTATATATATTAGGGTTTGTCGCTGCATCTCACTGCCACCAGAAAGAATGGAGAATCACAGGCTTGAGCGGAAGCATTGCCTCCTGAAGCCGTTCTTATCGGTGGTCCCGTTCTGCATGTTCCTGGTGATGGATATCTACTGGAAGTACGATACCCGGCCGAGCTGCGACGGCGAATCCTACAGCCCGAGCGAGCAGCTCCGCCACCAGAAATCAATCATGAAGAGCCAGAGGAACGCCCGGTTGATCGCCGCCACGCTGATCTTGTATTGGCTGCTTTACTCCGTCACCAATCTCGTCGTCAAGATCGAGCAGCTGAATCAGCGCGTTGAGAGGCTCAAGAGCAAGGAGTGATGGAATGTGCTCGGCGTCGACGGTGGAAATTAAAATATTTTAATTTTATTATATTTTAGTAAGTTTATGCTTATACCCTTAATGAATCATGTTGTTAGCTATCTAGGCCCTTTCGATGTGATACATCACATTCCTACTCGGTCTAAGATGCTTCCTTGGTGTGCAAGTCACATTGGAATATTATGGAATATTAGCAACATCAACGACGCATTGTACCGTTGTTTTTTCCTTTTTGGTACCTTTGGACAGAAACTAGATCCACATGCTTCTCTTGGTATCTTTGGACTTCTCTATACATTTGGGCTTCATTTAGACAACAACAGGTTGAGCGGTTGCAAAAGCCACCACGGTGATTTCTATATTTACTGATTCAAAGTCTTGATCCATGTTGGTCCATATCCACTCTAGAATACGTCCTAAGTGTGTCTGTATCTTAAAGATACAAAAATTACCCATCAAAGTGTACAAAAAACATCTAAGATCTATAAATCGCGCTTTGGAAAAATAATTAATATTTTCTTCATAAAAATTCTATGTTTTTATCAAATCCGGATGAATTTATCGTAGAATAAGTTGGCAAAATAGCATTCTTCAAATGTCGTCACCCACATTCGTGGGTTTCTTAAATTACAATTTCTCAAAATCTTTTATATGAGACCTCATTCACAGAAGTGGAATTTAGATAAAATCTCACCCCAAATTCCTAATCTAAACAACCGCTTAGATAATTACATTATATTTATGCCAATTTACTAGCACCACATTTATTAGAAGAAGAAAACTAGTTAACTAAGGTAAGATACACATTATGTTTTATCTACTTAACTTTTTTTTTTCTTACCTTCTTTCCTAATTATTTATTTCTTTTTTTCAATCCTAATTATTGATTTTATGACAATAAATAACTTATTCTTCAACATTTATCCTCTCTCTCAACTTCCTCTACAATTTCATTATTATTCCATATTTTCGTATGGAGTTATCATAAAAGTTTTAATTTTTCTATTCAATCTTTCAGAGTTGTTCTTCCTTTCCACTTTCTTTATGGGGAATTTAGACTTTTTATTTCAAAAAAATTAAGTTTTTTTGGTTCACAAGAACTCTATTTCCCAACATCTCTCCTCAAATTCTCAACCTTCTTTACTCTTTCATTTCACTCTCAATAAAAAATTCTCAACCTTTTTCCATCTACTATACTATTCAAACGATTCATCATTTTGCACTCTCCTCTTACTTTTTATATGAAGCAATCAATTTTTGTTTCACCCAATAAAACACTTCTCCTCTTGCTTTGTTATTGGTAAGAGTTAATCTATAGTCATTTAGCTTCATCAACTATTTTGTTGTCCATTTCGATAAAAATATTTTTAAATTCTTCATATCTCTAATTTATCTTTTTTCATGGTTCTATCATTATAAATTTGCAGTCTTGTCTTTTTTATCGTTCAAATGTTTGTTTTCTTCTTTACAGTTTCAATGGAGAAGTACATCAACAAAGTAGCAAATCAATCTATGCCTAGTTTTGCTCGAGGCATAAATATCTTACTAGTAGATAACGATAAATTGTCTCTTATGCTTATGAAATCAATGCTTCAACAATTCACATACAAAGGTATGTCCACAACACATTGATCCTTCTTCAAATAATATATTCTTGTAAACACGTTGAATGCTCATTATTTTAGGAAAATAGAATTGTATATCTAAAGCTGTCATCTGGAGTAATAATGATATGCCCTTTATGAATGAGTACTTTAAGAATTTTATTTATCACAGTTAAAACTGTTGCAAAATCCAAACTATCTGAAAAATATAATGAAATATTATTTAATATAACAATCATGGCAAAAACTTCTGGCTCCGTTAACTTTGTTAAAGTTGACTATTAATTTCCAACAATCAACAAATTCACTACTGGTTTGTCTGTCGACTTGGATTAAATTTATATTAATTAAAATATATTAAATAAAAAGTATTAAAAGAGAAAAAAAACACCAAAATTGACCACTGCCCAAAGTTCATTGCGCGATAAAAATCAAGTCTGCCTCAAGGATTTTGATCGGAGTTTGCAAAATCGATTATTTAGATTTTGCGGCAGAGCACGGTGCCGTCACTAGGGAGTTTGCATAAGTTGGTTGTTGTAGACACAGATTTAGATATCACATCAGTGGAGGGGAAGGATTAGGAGAAGATGATAGCGAGACAGGGGAGGTGGGGATCGAAAACGTCATTGCTGCTGCTCGATAACTGTTCTGCTTCTCTCCGCCCGTTTGCTCTCAACAACTCGATTAATTTCATAAAATCGAGTGAGGACAAAGAAGTAGATCTTGTTCGCTAGCTGAGGCGGAAAATCCCAAATCCTCAATCTTCAGCAAGGATAATCTTCAATCCCCCAAATCCTCGACGCCAATGTGGGGAGGTTTGCGAGCAGGCAAATCCGACCTGAAGCTGGGGTTTGGGTTTTGGCCATGGACCAGTATGCAACGCGCACAAAGAATCAAAGTGGGTGTGTGGATGTTTGCGTGGCAGTAGATCGAAGAACCAAGCACTTCAAGATGGAATTATTCTAGCAACAACACCGGACAGATTCCCTTGCAATTGGGCTTGTGTGGCACGGAGATACTGTTGGGATGAATAGCTTAAAGAGAGCGACCTAGTCCGCGACTCAGCCAGATCGATAACCCTAAATTTTCTGTTCGGTTTCTAACAGATACCCTCGCCCATATTGGAGAGGAAGATGGAGGTCATTTGCTTTCGATGAAAAGGAAGAGGAGTAGGGTGTATCGGTTCGGGTTGGGTAACTGAACCCGAAACCCACAAACCCGAAAAAACCAGAAATTCCTTTGCATGTAACCCGAAACCGAACCCGAATTGTTGTCTTGCGGGTTTTGGGTACCCGAACCCGAAAATTGTATTAGCGGTTTTCGATTCGGTTTGATTGAACCCGAAAACCAAATGTCCTCATCCTTGAACACTCCGCCCAGCAATATCTGTTGTTTCATTCTTAATTCCAAAATCCCAATTTCTATTCCATTCCTTCTTCTCCTTGCCTCCACTCCCACCAACACCTGCTTGTTACTTTTTCATTCCTTCTCATCCTCACCCTCACAATTTTTCCAACCCCTACTGCACCCTCCTGCTTCATTGTTGCTTTTGTATCCTCTGCCACCATCCCACCACCACGAGAATTGTTTGGATCGACGAAGCTAGGAAAGGAATCAACGAAACCAGGGGACGAATTGAATCCGGGAAACCATAAAACCAGATCGGAGAAAGCTTTTGATGCAGCGCCCGACGTTACGACATACCCAGATGCGCCGACGACGAGGAAAGCTTTGACCTGAACGGAAACAGATCCGTCGCCCGATGTTACCCAGTAGCACTGCCGACGTGGAAAGTTTCGATCTCGAACAGACCCAGATGCGCCACCTGAATCGTGGGAGGCGAAACCACCTATGTACTCACCTCATTGCTCTGTCGATGCCTTGAAATCAAAAGGCTTGAGAATTTCAGATGAGAAAGTCTCGAAGGCTGAAGTCCAACTGCCAAACCCGAAAGGGCATAACGCATAGTTGAGGTCGGTATCGGGTTTTTCGGGTTCTTATCGGGTTTCAGGTTACAACGAAACCAAAACCGACAAACCACATATTTGGGTTGAAACCGAAAACCCGAACCTGACAACACTATAATCGGTTCGATTTCGGTTAAACCCGAAAACCCAAACCGAACCGACACCCCTAAAGAGGAGAAAATAGAAGTAGTCGGTAGTCGTGCAGGGTGGAAGCCATTGGCCGAGGAGATTAGTTTTTTCTGTAATTTTGATTTTTTATATTAATTTAATTTTAAATTAAAAACTAATTCATCAGTTAATGATGTGACATCATGGCTGCTAGCCTGCCACATTTTACCACGTCAACAAAAGTCAAATTTTCTTTGACTGTCGTTTGGTCAACCGTTCTCTAATGGCCACAAAAGCGTCAAGATATAAATTACAAAAAAGTCTCATAGTTCTTTTTAGGATTGTAATACTCAATACTTGAGAACAAAAGTGGCATTTTTCTATAGTTGAGTTTTTGTAGTGGTATTAGCCAGGTATAATATTAGCCTTAATTTGAAGTTTACCTTTTAGACTTTGTCAAGTTAATTTAAAAAGCCGCCAAAGTAATTTTCTCAAATTTGATAATTCTTATATGAACTAATCAACTTGCTATTGCCATGGCAACCTAGTTATTCTGCTAATTTGAAAATTCGTTAGTATACTAACTAATATCCAAAATGTATGAACTAATATCCAAGTCTGCTAAGTATCTAGATAGCACATACTAGTATTCAAAACATCATAAATTAGTATCCAGATAGCAGATACAAACTAATATCCACAATAAACCAACTAGTACTCAATATGAATACTCTTATGGGTTATCTGGATACTCTTATATGTTATCTGGATACTATTCTGTGTTGTCTAGATAAGTTTGTGAATTTGAGATAATATTTGATTCATGGTGGATATCAGTTAACAAACTTTGAATACTAGTTTGTACTCTCTAGATACTTTAGTACTTGGATATTAGTTTATATATTTTGGATATCAGTTAGTATCTGCTAACGAATCTTCAAGTTAGCCGGTTAACTTTCCCATTGCCATGGAACCCACACAGTTGACTCCTCATTCAGGACACAAAAGTTTATCTTTGTCATCTCATTCTTCTAAGATTTTTCATGTGGTACGAAAAGAACAGTGAAATGATTGAATATCTAAAAAATTAATTAATGAGTTAATGATGTGACATATATGGCTGCCAACCTGCCAAATTTTACCACGTAAACAAAAGAAAAAATTTCTTTAACTGTTGTTTGGTCAACCATTCACTAATGGCCACAAAAGCTACAAGATATAAATTACAAAAAATTCTCATAGTTTGTGCTAGGTTTTTCATACTCAATACTTCAAAACAAAAGTGGCAATTTTTTTTTATAGTTGGGGTTTTATAGTGGTATTAGCCATGTATATTATTAGCCTTAATTTGAAGTTTACCTTTTAATAG